ACCTCCCGCAGGGGTCAGCATTACACTCAGGTGATTAAAGTTAATTTTGTTGGTTTTATAGGCTTAGTTTGTCTAGGTTTTTGCGTTGAGTTCCTTGAAGGCATACGCTATTTCCACCTAAGTTGCATTATGAAAAACGTAAGGTAAGTTCATGAAAAGGGTAAAAAGCCCGTGTTCAGTGAGGGGCTAGGGACGTGCGGCCCACGTACGCACGCTGAAGGCTGCGTGAACGGTGGGCTTCCAACCCGGGCGCTTCCTTAGCTTTACTGACCCTCCGGGTTTGCTTTCTGTGGGTTGGACACACGCACCGAACTTCCCGAGACTCAGTGTCCCTCTCTCCCTCCCACCCATTGTCCTCCCTCCAGACTACACATCTGTTTGCTTACTTAGTAGTTTGTGGGAAAATACCTGCCAGGTGCCCCCTCCCCATGAACACAAGCCCACCCGTCTTCTCCAGCTCCCGCCCTCTCACGCAGGGGTGGGCTGGCTTCCGGCCAGCCCCGCACAGCACCCGCGGGCGACATCTGTCAGTAACAGCACTGCTGTGGGCAGGGGACATGTCTCCAGCCTTTGACCGTGTGGCAGGGATGGGCCACAGGCCAGGCTGCAGGACCTGGCGGGGCCCTGGGTCTGTGTCCTTATGCAAACCGCGCATGGCTCTCCCACGAGTGACAGCCACTGGGAAGGTTCTTAGGACAGATCAGAGGATGACACCAAGTGTGTGACAGGACTGACTCCCTCCCCCCAACACACACACACATGCACACACGTGAACTGAATGTTTGGGTCCTACCCAGAGGTGACATACAAGACATATAATAGCCACACGTGCTGGGTCATCCATACATCAGAACTGCCCCACAAGCACAGTGCCGGACAGGGTCCTGGTGTCCCCCTGCTGGTGACAGCCTTGGCACCACAAGTACTGGGCTGTGGAGAGGCACAGAGGTGACCAGAGACTAACAAGGACCAGGGTGGCCAGGGAGGCCACACACGGGGGAGGGACCCTTGCAGCGCGTGGGCCAGTTAGAAGCATTTTCACATTTCAGGACCCGAGAGGCCACGCAGACCCGTACGGCTGAAGGCCAGTGGGCCTCACCACGTTCCCCATCAACACCCTGGGAAGCACAGAAAAACAAGCAAAGCCCCATATGCAGAGAATGCGGTTTTATTGGAACGAGGCAGAGCCACCTAAGCAGAACAAGCTCACTGACATGTCTGGGGACCCTTCACCGGTGGCCTCCGCACTCCGGGCCCAAGGCGTTGGTGGGCGCTCTCTCTGGGGGTCTGGGGATGCTGGTTTTGCACACAAAGACCTCGCCTGCCTTCCCTGCCTCCAGAATCGCCCCCTTTTCAGCACTAAGGACAGTAAACATCCCCACCTGCGGGCCCTCGGCCCCCAAGATCGGCCCCCAGTGCCAGCAAATTCCACTCGTCGCCCTCATTGTCTCCTAAACCTAAAGAAAACAAGGCGTCACGCCCAGCAGCTCGTCCATAAAACATTAATCACTATCCCCCTCCTTGAGAGGCTCCTGCCCGGTGAAGGTGTGACCCACAGGAGGGATGGAAAAACCCTCCTGGGCCGGCACGTGGCCGGGCCGCGCCAAGGGCGGGGGCCCCTGGCACTAGGCCCTCCGGTGCTTTTCCACGCCAGCTCCCGGCTTTGGTTCCCAGGATGCTGAGGGCCAGCCTGGGAACCCCAAAAGGAAGACAGCCCTCCCTGCATCTACTGGTGCCCCCCCCCCAAAGGCACTGTGGTCCTTGGAGCCAAGGGGCCAATGGCTGCTACGCGCCATCCATACACTTGCACTTGGGGCCTGTTTGAGGCCACTTGAGCTTTTGAGAAAATAAAGACGCCGGGATCAGGACCAGAGTCACGGCCCCACCAAGGCTGTGGGGTGCCTCTGCCTGACCAGCCGACTGGCCCTGGATTCCTGGGGGCTCAGAAACCCAGGGCCAGCAGACCCGGTGCTCGAGGTCGTGTGTGTGTGCAACGAAGAAGCAACTTCAGGTTGATCTGAGCATGGGCCACGGGCTCTGGCCGACGTTCCTCTGAAGGTCTCTGGAGATCGTGCAGCCTGGACCCGGGTTCCTAGGAGGCCTCAGAACCGGTGGGGCCACTGTGCAAGTGCAAGTCTCTGCTCTTGCAGGTTTAATGGACAGACAAATATTCTAGGACTGAGTAACCACTGAATGGCATCCTGCTTCCTGCTGGGCCAAGGGCAGAGGGCACGGCCATCCAGGCCAGCTGAGTCACCTCCGAGTACACATCTCAGGACCACGGGGGAGTCCAGGGGGCAGGAACCTGTTGTCTGGTCTCTGCAGAGACGCGGTGGACAGGGCACTGGGTGCCTGCCACCAAGCACCTCACGTGTGTGGTCACCTGAGTGCTCAGATGCTGGAAGTTCAAGGTTGAGTCATGGAATCTTCCAGGAAATGTACTCTCTCCATGAAAGTTGGATGAACAAAGTTGACAAGGGTGCTGGTCGCTCCAGAAGCCCCACGCCAGTTCCGGTTATCCCCCCGCCCCCACCCCCAGCCTCTCCTCTGTGCAGGGCGGGACAGAACAGGAGCAGAGCAGGGCCAGGGATGACCCTTGAGAGATGGGGCACCTCAAGCACTGAACCCACAGGCTGGAAGGTGGCAGGGAGCCAGGGATAGGCCAGCCCCTAAGCTTCTGCCCCAGGCCCGAATGGCACCTGAGGCCCCTTCCTAGGGCATCATTCTTCCTCAGTGTGCAGCATTGCCCTTCTCCTTCTCAGGTTCCCTGCAGGGAGAGGACGCCACTGCGTGAGCAGGGCTAGCAGTGTTTTCCTTCCAGATGGAGGACCAGTCAGGCCGAGAGGGCGCCAGCAACAGCCTGGGGCCGGGTGGTGCCAGTGCATCTCAAGCAGACACTCTGTGCCGCTGGCCTTGGAAAGACCCGAGCTTTTGCCTGGTGCCAGAGCCCCCTCCTTCCCCTCCTCCTCCCTCTTAACGCCTCGCAGACCAAGGAAGCCTGGTGGCCCAGCTGGCTGGCCTAGAGCTGAACTTGGTGGAGGCCATGACAAGATTGGCCAGCCACGGAGAGGAATGAGGCCCATCTTTGAAGCCAGGCAGAGCAAGTTCAAATCCTGGTTCTGCCCACGCACCTGCTGTGGGGCCTGGGGCAAACCATTTCGTTTTCTGGGCCTCAGCATCCTCTGCACGCAGAGGCAGCTCTCTTCACCTCCCAAGGATGCTGCAAAGGTGAGAGAGACTGTGTGTGAAGTCAGAGGACAGAGCCTCACAGATACTAAGTTCTCACAAAATACCAGCTCCCCAGCCTCTTTCTCAGACCCTCTCTCTCGACACAGGACTCCAGAAGTGACCATTAAACACTCAGGAAGCAAGGTTCTGCCTCGGAATGGCCAGGGGTGGTCCGGAAGGAGCAGGGGTAGAGGGGAGGGGTCCGGGCCTGAGGTTGGGTCTGAGCGGGCTGCGTGCCTGGGAAGAGGGCACACGGTAAGAAAAGCCAGGCGGGGCTATGCGAGGTGGCCTCGGCACCCCCCCACATCCCCCCCACCTGTCAGGCCCGGGCTGCGGAGGGCTAGCCCACAGCCTGTTCCCACGGCTGGGTGGTCACACCCGGTGCCACCAGCCTGTCCTCCACCTGGGAGATGCAGGGACAGTTTGAGCAGCCGGGACAACCCAGGTGCCACTCCCGGGGCCCAGCGTGCACTAGGGAAAGAAATCCTGCTCCCAAAGCACCGACTCAGCCTTCCCTGGGGCAGCCTAGCCCCCCAGCCCGGCCCAGCGTCCCTGTGCCACTGCCAGCCACACCCTCCACCAGAAGACACATGCTTCTTAGGAGGATTGCTGGGGCGCGAGGACCTTCCAGACACCCCATTCCTGCTCAGTCCCCATCTATGGCGATACCAGCCTATGTAACCTAGGGTGATCTCCAGAAGGGTAACGGTTCTCAGGGCCCCCCAGACTCCGGGCTGCCTGGGAAGTGCAAGCCTGCCCACGATAAGGGGCCTGCCCCTGTTATGGAGCTCGCAGTCCCCCCAATACAGCTGTCCTGCTTGGAGAAGCCAGCCCTTAGAGGCATGCATGGATGGGGGGGCGGGGATGGCATCAGCGTTCTGGGTCCAAGCGTCAGCTTGCCGTAGACACTGCTCTGAGACCGGGGGCATTCTCCAAGGACTTGCACACCTGCCACAATGCCCCCCCCCCACGCACACACATAGTGTGGAGGGGAGCCACGAGTGGGGAGGCCTGTGTGAGCTCCAGAGGCCTGGGGTGGGGCGGGGGAGGGCAGGGTCTGTTTCATCCCGCAGCGGCCTTGGGGCCACACAGGGACAGGCTGCAAAGGCAGGAGTGGACAGAGGGGTCCCTTCCTGGCTCCCCGTCACTGTCTAGGCAGAGGCCAGCTCACTCGGACCTCTCTTTCCTGACGGAAGCCGAGGAGCCCCCCAGGGAAACGCACGCTCTCACCGACCGGCCGGGCGGGTCCAGGGGCACAGGAGCCCCCAGAGCTCAGGGTGCGCTTCCTCTCTCGGCTTCTGCTGGCCGTCCTCTGCCGGCCGGCTCCGCACCCTCTGCGCCCGGTGGGCCCGCCTCCCCCATGGGGCTGAGCCTGGGGCCCCAGGACCCCGCACAGGGGCACAGGCGTGGGTGGAGGACCAGAAGGAGGGATGCCTGGCCGTCCCTGGGGCTCCCCGGGTCCCACCACCAGGAGGGCAGAGGGCTCATGGGGCTGTCACACTGCAGTCCCGCTGCCCCCACCCCCTCACATGCTGCGATGACAAAGGGGCCCTACGAGGGGCCGGGCCCTACGAGGGGCTGGGCCCTGTGTCCCTCCCACGGAGTGCTGGGCTGGGGCTGCGTTCGCCCCCGGAGACCAGGCGTCCTGGGGCAGGGGGCAGGCAGTGGCCCCCCTCAGACTGTGGCCCGAGGAGAGGGCCCCGGTGCCCTGCCAGACCAGAGAGGTCCTTTGTACAAACACGGTGACGAAGGAAAACGACAGGAAGCCTGGATGACCTTAGAAATCATTTTCCTTTATTTTCTTAACATAGAATGGAACTCCGATTCCAAAGAGACATATATGAAGCGCAGACAGAAGCAGGGTCCTGGTGCGCACAGCAGAGACCAGGCAGGGAGTGGGGGTCCACCCCCTCCCCCTCCAGCATGACCCTCCACCCTCCGAGGCCCTGGCCGCGCTCCAGGCAGAAACCGAGAAGCTGGGGGTGAGAGGGGTCAGTCTCGTGGTCCAGGGAGTAGCCAGAGACATGCCTTGGCTGCCCAGCCTGGCCAAATCTCAATCTAGCTGTGGGACCTTGGGCCTCAGTTTCCTTATCCATTAAGTGGACTGGAAGTCCCTGCTCAGGAAGTGGGGGAGAGTGTGCACACGCCGTGATGGGTCGGTGACTGTCACGGGCTTCCTGCCTCTACATGTCTTAGTGTTGTCTCCATTTCTGCCACCACCGTGGCCGCGGGCACATGGGGGGACCCGCTCGGGCCCTGGTGGAATTGAACGGACTGTGCGGGCAGCTGCCCCCGAGACGGACCCTGTGCTCCGAGCTGCACCTGGGCTGCAGCCACAGCCCCTTCACCAGGCCAAGGCCAATTCTCCCTCCAGGTGAGTGAGGACAGAAGGCGGTGGCCTGGGTCACACGGGGAGCCTGTGCAGGTCACCCCGCTGCCCTCAGCACCTCCAGCCGGGACCTCAGCAGTAAGGGGGGCTTCCGATCCTCCTCCCACCTCAGAGTCATCCGGGGACTTGGGAACCCCCGGAGGATCCAGCAACAGCATCAGCCTCTGTGGGCTGAGCCACCTCACGGTCATCTGTCCCCAGACTTCGGGCCTCGGGTCACAAACTGTCCCTTAATAAGCACACTCCCGTGTGACAGGGGCGGGAGCGGGTGGAGAACCGAATAACGGTCAGGAGGACGCAGGGACAGGTGGGCCGGGCCAACTGGAACTCAGTGGGGAAACACGGGTACTCCTCCTTCGACCTCTGAGCGGCCCTTTGCTCGGCGGCGGCCGGCCCTGTCTGGCCAGGCCACTGCGGAAGGAGCTTCTGATGGCCAGACTGTCGCTCGCTGCTTTGAAACACGCATGCGTGCGTGTGTCCTCGTGTTCCCCAGACGCACAGCTGCCGCTGTGCCCCTGGAGGGAGAACGCAGCGCTGGTCCAGACCTCATCTCCCAGGACCCACGGTGCGTCCGCACTTACAGGATCCTACAGAGGGGCCTCGGGCCCACCGAGAGCTCTCCCTGTCCCTGCCACTGCACAGACATGGGCCACTGAGGCCCCGAGACAGGGACCACCCCAGGGTTCTGCAGCCCAGCCAGAGGAGGGCCCCAGAAGCAAGCCAGGCTGTGCAGATGAAGCTCGTCACCTCTTGCTCCTAACCCGGCCCCTCCTGGGGTCTCCTTCCCTCACAGCACCCTAGGGGGCAAAGTGCACGTTACAAGAAAGGGCCGCGCCCGAAGGCCCGGGACACTGACAGTGGAGCCCCCGGCACCCGCGGCGGGCGAGCTGGTGAGCTGCTTCGGGAAGAGGGGGTTTTCGGGCACACCTCCTGCCCCACTCTGAGGGGACAGCTTGGCAGAGCGGGTCCCTCTCTTTCACCTCCTCTGTGACTTCAAGGGAGTGGGCGGGTGGTACGTCTTGGGCTCCAGGAGGCCCCGAGGCCAGGAAACAGAGAAAGAGAAAGAAAGTGATAGCAACAGCCCCAAACCAGGCTTGGCCACGCGCGTCCCTCCGCACCTTGGACAAGGGACGGTGGCCAGCTTGTCAGAGTGTCTACAATACGGACTCCTCCCCTCCCCGCCCTCCGCCCGCCCCTGCCCCTGCCCCTGTCCCCCACGGGGGTGCCCAGGCCCGGCCCCCTCTATTTGGGCTTCATCTCCACCCTGGAGTTGATGTCGTCGCCGTCCAGGTCGTACTCCTCCACCTGGCCGCTGGTGCACACCTTGAGGCGGTCCGTGAGGTCGCTGCTGCGCGGGGCCAGGATGAAGTCGTAGATGAGCACGGCCAGGGCGGCCCCGATGAACGGCCCCACCCAGAAGACCTGGGGACGGAGCGGGTGTGCTCAGGGCGCGGCCGGCCCGGCCTCCGGGGCTCCCCCAAAAGTCCCCTCTCCTGGGACGTTCTCCCCGAGTCCCTGCCCCACCCGCCACCCTGCTGCAAGGGTTGTCTCCCACCGGTGTGTGGGGCAGAGGCGGGCAGAGCTGCCCCCCAGGCCCCCCACACCTGGCCCAAGCTAAGACTCCGGTAGCGGGCATCTCCTTCCCTCTGTGTGGCCCAGCTCGGGCACGCCGGGCGCGGTCAGACCCGCCCCTTCTCCAGGGGGCCGCCTGCCTGCCGCCACCTTTGGAAGGGTCTAGTACAGTGAAAGGCTGGCCTGGAGCAAACACCAAAGGCCAGAACAGCTAAATCCACGGAGCGCCCCTCCATGCTGCACTCAGCTCACAGGCGGCGAGGCCGTGTGCGCCCCCCGGCAGCCTGGGAGCAGGTAGGTGCCACCCGCCCCGACCCCTCGGCTCAGGACTCGGGCACGGAGAGGGCCCGCAGCCTGCGCACAGACACGCTCAGCCGGAAAGCGGTGGAGCCCGGAGTCCGCAGCCTCGCTCTCCACCGAGCTGCTGGTTGACTTGGGGTAGGTCTGAGCTGGGAGGGGTGCCCAGCCCATGCTGGTCCCAGCCAGTCCCCTGCAGCCCCTTGCTCACCGGTCCCACCGTCCTGCGTCCCTCAGCCCTGGCGGCCTCCCAGAGCCTCTGGGGCAGGAGGAGATTCGCAGGGTGGGGCTGGCCTTCCTCAGGCACCGCGGCCTCCTGCCCACCCACCCCCACAGGCAGCCCGTCAGCCCTTACCCAGTGGTCCGTGAAGTTGTGACTGATCACTGCGGAGCCGAAGGACCGGGCAGGGTTAATGCTGCAGCCAGTGTAGTCAATCTGTGTGGGGGGGGGGGGGGCACCGGGAGGGGGGACAGAGGGAGAGGAAGAGAGAGTGAGGCACAGGGAGGAGACAGCGAGGTGGCCGTCAGAATCACAAAGAGAGGAGCACATGGACCCGGAAAGACGGCCGGAAGGTCACCGTGCTCCCCTGTCGTGGGCAGGACCTGAACCCCCCACCCTGCCCCCACAGCCCCCGGCCCAAAGAGCCCGTTGTCCCCCATGGCATGAGCCCAGTCGGGGGACCCTTCCACTGCCCGCAACAAGGCGCCCCGAAGCCACTGCCCGGCCCCACCCTGTCCACCGCCCCCCTCCCCCGGGAAGGCCCCGCACTCACCGCCAGCAGGTGTCCCAGGGCCACAGAGAGGCCTATGGCGAGGGGTGCCGAGCCCCCCAGGTCCCGGCGCCTCCGGTCGGTGGTGGCCAGCACGCACAGCACCAGCTGCAGGGTGGCGATGATCTCGATGCCCAGGGCCTGGCCTGAGTTCACGCCAGAGGCCAGCTGTAGGGGACAGAGACAGTGGGGCTAGGTGAGCAGGGCAGGCGGGCACTGGGTCAGGGCCCCCAGCACCAAGGGCCAGACCCTTGGTGCCCTCAGAGCCCATCGCACCAGCCCCTGGCTGGGCCCGGAGGGACAGCTGGGGGTGGACATCAGGACACCTGTTGTCCCCTGTCACACCTGTTGAGGCAGCACCGGCTGAGCTCCTGGGACCCACCTAGACCTTGGATGCTCTGCCCAGAGGCCCGAGAGGCCTGGGGTGGGACTGGAGGTGGGAGTGTCCGCATCAGCTACATCCAGTCCAGGGCCGTGGGGACCGAGGCCAGAGATGAGGGGCAAGGCCCAGGCCTGGGAGGAGGTGGTCTGGGACACTCAGGGACAGTCACGGGAGAGGAGAAGGCCTGGCTGGAGACTGCTTTTTATCCCCAACGTCCGGAACATACTACCCCACCCCTGGCTGCATCTAAAACTCCCACAGCTGGGGAGGGTCCTCCTCAGTCCACCGGCCCAGCGCCCTCCGCCCCACGCCCCTCCGTGCCTGTATCCTTTGCTGCCCCACCCGGGGTCTGCTTCCCCACCTCTGCCTGCCCATCCCCGGGTCCCGTGTCTCTCTGCCGTATCTTCTGGGCCAGGGCCCTCCCTGTCTGTGCCCTCCCTCCCCTCCTGGCCCAGCCCTCTCCCTCTGGCCACACAGCCCCCCCCCCCCCCCCCGTCTGGCTGTCACTCGCTCCTGGGCCGCTTTTAGTAACATGACTCACGGAAAAGGAAGGGGACGGGAGCTGCTGTGAAGTCACCAGGGCCTTCCCCCCGTAGAGGCACCAAGGAGACCCCTCCCCCCCAGCAAGCCCCTGCTCCGCCCCACGAGGGGGGCTCAGGGGCCAGGTGCGCCCTCCCAGCGGAGCCGGCCACACCAGCACAGGCCCACTCCCGGAGAGCCCCGGGCGGGGCCCCCTCGGCTGCCTGCTCCGGGGCAGGTGTGTCCAAACGGTGGAAACTTGAAGTCTCATCCTGAGGGTAGGAGGGTGACCCCAAGGCAGTTGGGCATTTTGCACAGTCCTAGGTGGGGGGCACTCCTCCACCCTCCAGAAGTTTTCTGTCTCACGCTGAGGACAGCTTACACGAACAATTCCCTTCCCGCCTTTGTCTGCAGCCCTGGGTCACAGGGAAAGTGACTCAGACCCCTGCGCCCTCGGCTCAGCCAGCCCTCCGGACAATGCCCACTGTCCTTCCCCCCACCCCAAGGTGCTCAGGTCCCAACTCGCTGACTCACGGGCACCAGGACCGTAGCCTTGCCTTCTCTGGTCCTCAGTTTCCACGAGTATAAAATAGATCGAAGGCAATGGGGCTGTCTCTGGGCATTTGGAAAGTGGTGCGGGGGCAGGAGGGATCAGAAAAGCTGTAGCTATGTTCTGGTCCTTTTTCCTCTTACCCCCAGGGTTGGGGGACAGGCAGGGGCGGGGGGGTACCCTGATGCGCAGAGGAGTGGAGGTAGGGGCGGGGCCTGCCGGGTGCCAGGTGCTGAGCCGGGCTCCGTGGATGCAGGGCTGGTAAGGCCAGCCAGCGGCTGCTTGTACTGATGCCCATCACGTGCACACCTGCCCCAGCCTCAGTGTCTGAGCACTTGGGAAGCTTGGGCTCCTCCCCGCCTTGCCTCTGCTCCCCAGGGCCAGCCTAATTGCTAGCTGGCGGGGGTCCTGAAACCAGCCCTTCCACGCCGATTAATGGACCCATCGCTCTAAGTGGCTCCTGGCCTCGTGCTCCCCCACCGCACCCAACTGTCTCACAAATGTGGCCTGGATGAGCTCATCTCCCCCCACCCCATTCTTACAGGTCTCTGCATCCCGGCTCCTGCTCCCCCCAAGTGAGCAGGGGCGGAGGGCTGGGGCTGGTGCCACGCCCATGCTCTGGCTCCACAGGAATGGGCCACCTGCCTCGGGATTTCTAGGATGTCCCTTCCTGACTGCCCAGAACCACATGGGTTGGTAACCTCCTTCTTCCAAAGCCCATTGCTGCTGCCGCCACCAGGAAGCCTCCCCTGATTGCTTCACCGTCTGCTGATGACCTCTCCTTTGACTGCCGATGCACTTGTGTTACTCACATCTGGGAAAACGTGATAATTCAGAGTCGGAAGGGGTAGTTAAAGGTCTGTGGAAACTTGATGTCCAGGAAAGAGCAGGTAAAAATTCAAAAAAATATGTTACTACTTACAACCCATTAGACTTGAATCCCAGTTGTGGTCACTTGTTTTTGGAAAAAAAAAATATACTTTTGCTCCTCCCCAGGTAGTGTTGCCACCCAGCCCAGGTCTGATACCTCACCAGTTGAGGCCGCCCAAAAAAAAATAACCATCAGTTTTTCGACGGCAAGTATAAACAACGGAACAATGCACACATTTAGTCCGAAGCAGCTGACAGACGCCCGCGTACCGAGCCCGCGGACACCAGCCCTCCAGGTGCACTCGGACCCCGCAAGCTCCAAGGAGCCTTCCCAGGCCCCGGCTGCAATTAGCCTCTGCCACGACACCCCGCCCCCGTGCCCCCACTGAACTGTCGAAGGTCGTGTAGAGAAGCAGTCCCGCTGCCTGCTACGGGGTGCTCCACCCGCCTGGCCCGAGAGCCCCGCGAGGACGTCCCACCTCCCCACACAGGCCTTGCGGGAGACACTCGCCCTGCGGTAACGGGAGTGGCGGAGGATGCCGATTACGTCGAACTTGCTCTCTCTCTGGGGGGGTGGGGGGGCCCAGGAAAGCTTCTGGGCCCAGGGCGGTGTGTTTATTTGCCTTCTAGCCGGGGACCACAGGGCAGTCACTCGTCTCTGTGGTCCTTGCAGGGCAGCAGGTGCAAGGGCTCTGTGAGGAGCTAGAGGGAGACCGAGGCTCGGGGGCGAGAGAGCAAAGGCCAAGGCGCCAAGGCCAAGGCTCTGGCTACCCGCAGGCCCAGCCAAGGGACCTGGCCGTTCCCAGCCGGGACCAGGGAGCTGGCAGAAGATGGGGCTTCAGCTGCCAGGGTACCCTGGCTCCGGAGTGGCACGGGGCTGGCCTCTCCAGGCGAAACACTTTAAACCCTCTCTGCTGCCCTGGGCAGGCCCACCAAGGTTCCTTCCAAGTCCCGGGGCCCCCTCCTTGGCCTGGGCACCCTGGGCCCCACCCTTGGGGGCCTCCAGAGCCAGGCCTGCCTGAGACTTGGGCATTTCTCTTGAAGAACAGGGGATGGGAGGCAGTGAGGCCTGCCCCGCCCCACCTAGCCCCCCGCCAACTGCCTCCAAGACTCAGCACTCACAGTGGGGGCACCTCAGAGGGCCCCTGCGTCACCCCTCCATGGGCATTCAGGTGCTCCCGGGCCCCTGGGTGCCCACAATTCTGTGCCCCTCTGTGAGTCTGCGTGGATCCGTGTCTGCAGTATCGGTGACCGTGCATACCCAGGGGTGACTTGATCTCCTTTTCCTTTTTTTCAGACATCAAGAGATTTACTACCCAATACATAAACAACAAGTCTATCCAAAGGCTAGAAAAATTCTTAACCTTTGTGCACCAGAAAATATAGCCTAAAAGTCGATGCAAAAATCGACAGAATTTCAAGAACACGGATGAGCCACAGCCAGAGCGGGAATGTAACAACCCTCTCCTGGAAACTGATGGAATCAAGCATCCTAAAGATAAAATGCACGACTGGGAAGGATTTGAATCACATAATTAAGAAGTTGGTTTCAGGAACATATGTAGAACCCCGCACCCCCTAAATTGAGAGGGTACACTCTTTCTCAGCCCGTGCGGGACCCTCAGACACACCAGCTCGGTCCCTGCTGACTCGGAGAACCCCGGCCACCAGGGTCCTGGCTCTCAGGGGCTCTGCGGGCTGGGGGCAGTCTCCTCTGTGCAGCCTGTGGCCCTGGACGGCCATGCTGCGTGTCTGCTGGCACTTCCGAGGGTGTCGCCCTGGGTGTCCCTAGGTGTGGTGCACCTGTTCGAAGGTGCCCCTGCAGGCTGGGCAGCGGGGAAGAGACGGGAAGGAGGCCCCCTGAGTGAGAGGGGGCAGGTCTCAAAAGGCCGTTTATTTGCTCCCAGAAGCCATTTCACCTTCCTGACAAGAAACAATACACAAAGCAATGGCTTCCGCCTGCCTCCCTCCCTCCTTTCCTTGCTCCCAGGCAGCCCCCGCCCCGCTGCCAGGGGGAGGAAGAGGCTTCGCTGAGGGGCTCCCAGGGCCTGGGTGGAAGCACCCAGACTTGAGGGTGGCCCATGCCCACCTGTGTGTGCCCCCCCCATGCGTGCGTGTGAGTGTGTGCTGGTGCAGCTTAAGCATGTCCGCTTGGGAAGATGGGGGCCTTGGCTCTGACCCCAGCCCAGAGAGTTTCCAGGATTCCTCCCTTCCGGATGCGGACCCTGCCTCCCAGGCCCGCGGCCATCCTCCCGGCCAGCCTCCAGAAACCCCGGCCCAGGCTCCCCGCCCAGCCCCCCGGGCCGCCTGAACCGCTGGGTTCCACAGGGCACCCGGCCTGCTGCCGGACCTCCGCCCACCGCCCTGCTGCGCCGTGCACGGCCACGTGACCCAGCGCAGCCAGCTGCCACACAGATGCTCCTTGCACACCCCTCAGGACTGCGAGCTCGCTGGCTCAGAGGCAGCCTTTCCCCAGTTCAAACACACCCTCCCTTACACCGAGCAGACGGTTGTCCTGATGGTGGACCTCAGGCACTCAAAGGAGCTGCTCCTGTTCCAGCCTCTTCCCCATCCTTGGAGTTGGGGTTTTCAGCCTCGGGGTGTGCTCGCCCTACTGGGCAGCACTGAGGGCAAGGGGTCCCTATGGTCCCTGGGGGGAGGCCCTGGCCGGGAGGCCCTGGCCAGGACAGCGTGCTCCTGCCCACAGCTGCAGGTGTAGGGGCTCCACCCCAGACAGGGGTTCTTCCCGAGGGCGGGCGCCACGACTCTCCTGCCCCCCGGGGGGCTCTGCCTGTCAGGACGGAGGGCTTCCTGTGCCCCCAGGGGAGGACTCCTCAGCCAGTCCCCAAGAAGCAGGCAGGGGGTTCTCTGAGCCGCCTGGGGAAGAGCTCCGCTGGGCGGGTCCCGAAGGAACGCCCGCTGGGTGGGGCCCTCGAGAAAGCGGGAGCACCGTTGGGGCTGAGCTCAGGTCAGGGAGGCCTGCAGGACCTATTGGCTCCAGGGGGGTGGTCTGTGGCCTGGGTGAGCCCCCTCAGACCCAGCGCCCCTCTCGGAGCGGCACCCCTTTGCATGGGGCTTTCCCACGGCGAGCCCTGGGGAGGGCCCACGGGGCGGGGGGGTGGCACCGAGGGGCCAGCGGGCTGCTCCAACAGGGTAAACAGCCTCCCAAGTTTCCGCGGTGAGGGAGTCTCCACCGCAAAGGTCCTGCCGCTCTCCCCCTCATCTGGCTCGGGCTGGAACCCGTAATTACACATCTCGGCGGCGGCACCGCCACCAGCCCCGGCCCCTCCCGGGGCAGGCCCGGCTGGACAGCGCCCTTGGAGAATTCTGGCCTCCCCGCCCCCAGCCCACCGCCAACTCTGGAGGAGGCAGGAGTGGTCCCCGACCCTGGAAGACGTGCTGGCACCAGGGCCTCCCACTCTGTGGCTGGGGAAACTGAAGCCCGGGAAACCAGGAAAGGGGCAAGTTTGGGGCTAAGGTGCAGCAGGATCAGCGAGACTGAGAGACCACCCAAGAGGGCAGGCTTGCTCTCTGCCTGAGCCGCCCAAGGGGCCAGATTCATAGGCTCTGGGGTGGCCAGGCGTCCAGTCTCCTGTAGGACTCAGTCAGACCCGGACCTGGACCCCGAGCCCTCCCCATCCTCCAGGACCCCAACCTCCCACCAGGACCCCAGTCTGGTCCGTGACCTCCCACTGACCCCTAGCCTATGCCTGAAAGCCCTCCCCTAGAGGGGTCCCCGCATTTGAGCTCCTGTGGCACCTCCTCCCTGAAGCTTTCCTGGCCATCCCCTCCCCTGAACGTCAGAAGTTCCCCGGCCACCCCGACTCCCCTTATCGCACCTGCCTGCTGCCTCTTATCCCCGGCAGCTGTGCTGGGGCTTATCTCGCCCAGACCTCGGGCTTCCCCCCGGGCAGGAACCGCTGGCTCAGCGGCAGGAAGCCTGCGGCCGTCCTGGCCCTACACGCAGGGATCCTGGGTGAGAGAGCCGAAGAGGGGAAGAATCACAGGAGCGGGGACCAGCCGGGACTCCTGAGTTCACAGACGAGCACGTTCCACACCGCAGAGCCCAGCCACGCCCTGCCATGTCCCCATTTCACAGACGGGAACTAGGGCCTTACAGGCACGGTCACTTGCACAAAGCCACACAGGGCATCAGTGGCTGAGCCCCGGCAGGAGCAAGCTGGAGCACCGGCCCTGCCCCTGAGCCTCTCACCTTGACCGAAACTGGGTTCTGGCTCTTAGAACCAGCCAGGGAGCCTGCGGGCTGGTCGGAGGCCCGTGACCCCTCCAGGGCGTGCCCTGGGCCCTGACTCAGTGAGGAGAAAGTTCTCCCCGCCACGGCCCCAGGGGACACCCCTTGACTCACCCAACCACTTCCTGCCACTTCTTTCCCTATTTTCCTTGGAAATCTCCATGCCAACGATGGGCTCCACGCAGGCTCAGTGCAGGGTGGGGCCCAGGGCCCCAGGGGGGCCTCCCCGGGGCCTGGAGGAAAGAGTAAGGCACCCGCTGGGTACCCCTGTCTCTGTCTCTTTTGAGGCATTGAGGGTCCAGTGTCTGACAGGACCCCTTGTGGGTGGGGGACCCCTTCTCTGTTTCTGGACCCGGGACTGGTGCTCCGGGACCCAAACTCCCACCACGTGAGTGGGGCAGTGCCTGGGCCCCCGCCACAAGGCTTGGCTCACCCAAGCTCAGCACAGCCCCCCTGGGGCCTCTTAGCCAACCCCCTTGGGGAGGGTGACAAACTCGAACCCACAAGGTGAGCTTGCTGGAAATATGGGCGTGGCCAAGAGCTACCAAGACACCTAGGTCCCCTCGAGGGACCTCAGGGTCCTCAGATCCAAGGAAACCAGGACCTGCCCCCCAGCCCAGGGCTGGCCCCCCAACTAAGCTGCTCCTCTCTCCTCCCCGTCTGCACCCTACCCGGCACAGGTATTGAGGTGACCCCGGACAAGGGAGGCAGGGAGGGGAAGAGACAGGGCGTGGCCAGGTCTGCCTGTGCTGGGAGGCCCCTGTTGGAGAGTCGGCCAGCAGAGGCCTGGCCTGCCTGTCCCGGAGAGGGGGGATCGAGAGCAAGGGGGGCCCAGGGAGCTGCGGAGTCATAGCTCCTCCCCTCTGAGGACCCTCTCCCCAGCCCGACATGCCCCGCTGGGCTCCGACGTGAACCTGACCTTACCCAGAAGGGCACTCCCTGAGGTCGCCCGGCTGTGCCCCCGCTGGAGAGACTGAGGCCTGGAGGGACCAGGCTGTTACGGCCACCGCGGCCAAGTCTTCCCGGACTAAAGTCTAAACTCCAGCCCGCGGGGCTAATCTTTAATCTCGGGCTGAGTGGCGGTTGACTCTCCAGAGGGCTGGGTGAGGTGTCACTGTGACACAAGAAGTGCTAATCCCCCCATGGCAGGGCCACACCAGCTGCCCTCTGCGCGGGTCCTCCGGAGCCAGGGTCTGGACTTTGCCTGGGAAGCTCCTCTGCTGTCCCCACGCCCGCCTGCCCTGCCCAGGGCCCCGCCAGCCTCCTCGCTCCAGATCCGACTCCTCCTCTCTGCTCCGCGGCCCCTCTCCCTCCCGGGCGGGCAGCCCCCCCTCAGGTGCTCCACAACATCCTTCAAGCCTTCTTCAGCCTCCCAGGCCAAACCTCCCCCTGCTGCGTGCGGCCCGAGCCAGGTCTGAGTGTGCACTTGGCTCTGGGTCTGGAAAAGCCCAGGTCTGTGACTGCAGGCAGCGGCAGCCAACAGCCAATTAGCTGTGCTAAGCGGCCCACGAGGAATTCTTTTCAGCAGCTGCCACCCAGTTGCCAACATCTGCTTGTCATTAGTGCCCCCGGCCCAGGCCCCACTCAAGCCAGGAGGGGGTAACAGGCGGGGACCCCCTCGTCCCATACGGGCTCACACTGCAGCGCGAACATGCTCGCAAACACACTTGCAGAAACAGATACCCCCACCGGAGCGCACGGGATGCACAAACTCAAGCCCCACGCTGGCGTCCACATGTGCCGTCCATTCACACACACAGACACACGGGTCCCACCCCCCAGTGCCCAGCGACAGTGAGTGGAGCCCAGACCGGGGAGCGGGGTGGGGGCAGCGAGACGCCCCACCCTGGCCCTCACTGTAATCCAGGAAAACCACCTGCCAGCAGCCCGGGAACCTGTCTGATTCCTGGGGCCCGAGCAGCGGGAGGAGATGTTTCCTTGAAGGTAGTTTGTTTGGGGACCTGTGTGAATGCAGGGGCTCCCTGGAGGTCAGCGGGGGGCCCCGTGGGAATCCTGCCCCCACACTTGCAGACCCGCCTGCCGGGCACCTGGTTCAAGGGCTGGGGCGAGGGGCAGAGCTTCCCCGGGGTCTGGGGGGCCGCAGGAGGAGCGAGCTGACCCCACAGGCAGGGCTGGGGGCGGGGGCGTGACCTGCAGGTGAGAGGTGAGGAACTGCTGGCCCATAATAGACGCCCTCAGCGGGCACGGGCGAGACTGTTACTCTCGGGGTCCCAGCTTCCCACAGTGCGGGGCAGAACAGACTCGGGGGCAGAAAACAGACCCTGGGGCTGCGCGTGGAGCTGAGTCCCAGCCCCCTCAGGAAGACGTCCAGCGACCTCTCGTCCCCGCTCTTCCTCAGTGTCCCCATCTGCACCGTGGGCGCAGGACAGGACAGGTGCCATCTCCGCGCACCCTACTCACCCCGTTGCGCCCCAGCGAGTTGTCGGGCAGGGAGGAGGTGATGCCCGAGAGGATGGCGGTGGCGACGATGGCCCCCACGCACTGGGCGACCATGTACATGATGGCCCGGAAGACGCTGATCTGGCAGCTGAGCAGCAGCCCCAGGGTGACGGCCGGGTTGAGGTGGGCGCCGCTGATGTGGCCCACGCTCTGGGCCAGCGTGGCGATGCTCAGCCCGAAGGCCAGGGACACCTTCACGTTGTCCTGGGTCCCACCTGACGTCTGGTTGTTCTTCACCGGGTAATTGAAGCCCAGGGCAGAGCCGATGCTGATGCAGATGAAGATGATCATGGCCAGGAACTCGGCCACCACTGCCCTCCAGAAGAGCTTCTTCTTGAATTCGCTAGCCATGCTGGCAGGGGGGGCTTGGCTTGCGACCGCTGCCTGGCGCTTGACTCCCTCTGAGAGCTGAGCCGCGGCAGCCGGGGCAGGGCCTATTTATAGGGCCCCCGGGGGGAGGAGGGGAGGGGGAGCACAAAGGGAGGAAGGCCTCTCCTTGCTGCCGGCCCGCCCCACACCGCACGGGCCTCCTCTCAGCGATGGATGCAGACACAGCTCCGCTGTTGGCCTGCCAACTTTTTCCCTCCCTCCTCTGCCCCCTCCCTCCCTCCCTCCCTCCACCCACAGCCCTGCCCAGCTCGAGGAGGCAGGCAGAAGGCCGCCACGGCTCTAATAGGCTTTGGGAAATTCCTCCAAGCCGGCCCCTCTCCGGGGGCCGGAGAGATCCGGGTGTCCCTGCCCTGCATGCAACACTTAGGGGGTCCCCAAGGGCAGAGCCAGGCACTCCGGAAGGGGTGGAGTGGGGTGGGCAGGCTGGGCTTGGCGGACGGACATTGGCCTCCCTGGAGGCGGGCACCAAGACTCTGCTGGCCTGGCACCCCCGTCCCACCCAGCGAGGTTGGCCTGGAGTCCGTGGGTCCGGGGATCTGGAGGGGCCTCCTGTGCCCAAGTCCAAGCCTGGCCACTGGATGTCACTTCAGGGGTGTCCCAGAGCACCCTTGCACACCGGCCAGGCCTCAGCCGATGGGGGAATGGGGGCATCCGGAGTCTCAGAGAGCTTGTCTGTGGACCACCCTCTGCTCTGCGGCCGAGGGCAGGCCCGGGCGAGGTGGGGCTTCTGGGAAGCCCCCGCTCTGGGCAGCCTCAAGCTTCTGGAGCAACTGGAATCAGTTCGGGGGCCGGTGGGAAAAGACAAGGGCAGTGGAGGTCTTTCTCCTCAAAGGCGGTCAGGCTGGTGGAACCGCTGGGGAGACAGAGGGCACGACAGCCCGACCTAGAGGCCGGACGGCCAGACGGAGCGGGAGAGAGAAAGGGAGGACAGACACAGGACAGACCGGAGGGAGGGGAACGGGGAGAGGACACAGAGCGGCAGAGAGAGGAGGGCCAACCGAGGAGGAGGGAGGTAGAGTCGTCACAAAAATGCATGTGGCAGAGACTGGCCCCCAGGGCAGAGACGGTGACACAGGCCAGCGCCGAGAAAGAGGGGTGAAGCGCACGCACAGAGGGCGGGACCCGCTGAGAGAGGGGACACCCGGCGGGGCCCGGAGCCACAAGTGAAGAGGGGAAGGTGGGTGAGCAGCAGGGAGGTGGGGGAGGAACCAGGCCAGCTCCCACCCACCCCGCCCCCAGCACGGGAGGGAGGAAGGGACGCAGACCTTGCCGTCCTGCGCTTCCCCCAGCAGAGGCCTAGCGGCAGCCGGTGAACCAAGCAGAAAACTGGATTCCCAGCCCCCGAGGCTGGTGGGGAACCCAGGGCCCCGTCCACCCTCCTGTTAGTGTGTGGAAGGAGCAACCAGGCGGAGCCTGAGCCGGGGAGGGGCAGGGGGCGCCCAGGGGAGAGGGGCCCTCCCCAGGTCTCTCCGCCCGCCTCCTGCCTGCCCCACAACAACCCGACATGTGAGTGTCGGCTTCTCCCCATGTCACACGCGGGAAACTGAGGCCCAGAGAGGGGAAGGGCTCCTCTGAGTCGTGTCTGCGCCGGGAGCAGGGCAGAGATCAGCATGTGGGTCTCGAACCTCCCCACCAGGCCCCTGGCCCTGACCACGCTCTGCCCAGCCACAGCACACACCAGGGCGGCCTGGCCCCAGCAACGAGCCACCAGGGGTCACCAGGGAGGAGGCCCGCTGGGTGAGGTGTGGGGAGCTCGGTCTCTCCAAATACACTCAAGTGCCTGGAAGTACAGGATGGAGTGGACACGAGGCGGGAGTCTGCGTGGTGGCCGGCAGGTCCTGCCTACTCAGACAGACCCGGCAGGCAAGGCCAGAGGTAATCGGTGCCTTATTAACCAAGAGAGAGCGAGAGCCACCTCCGCCGGGGCCACTTCCAGAGCCGCCTCTGCCTCCGTCACTCTTGGCGCTGGCTCAGCTGTCCATAGCTGGGGAGGCTCCTTCTCGCCCCGGCCTTCGGCCCCCGGGCTCCCTCCGCAGGCCTGAGATCCCCCTGCACCAGGCCTCGGAGGGTGTCCCCTCAGACCAGATCCCAGGGCAGGGCCGGGGCGTCCCTCAGCCTCGGTCTTCTAGAGCCGGACTGTCTCCCTTCAATGTCCTGTGAGGGACATACACTCCGCCCTCCTGCTTTCCCCCTTGGCTTCCAGGTCCCGACAGGGCCACCCCTATCCCTGCCCTCTGATCGGTGCGGGGATGAGTTCTGACACTGGCAGGTACTGGGTCCCAGCCAGGGTGGGGCTGGAAGGCGGCAGGGAAGGGCTGGGCACCAGGCCCGCAGTGGCCACTGGGCTCGGGCTGGAGCTCGGGTGCAGCACAGCAGGGCTTGAACTAGGAGCCCGGGGGGGCCTGTTCATGTCCCGGGTTCTGTGACAGTGTCCGAGGGCCAGGTCAGGGTCCGTGCAGCTGAGGTCACACACTGTGCCACCATGCACGAGGGTGGGAGTCACCTGGGACCTACTAATTCACCCAACAAATGTTTACCAAGTGCATGCCATGTGCCCTACACCGCCCTGGACCCTGGGAGATGCCGACGGGCCAGACAGCCCCTCTCCAGTCCTCCTGAAGCGCTCATTCTGGCGTGTGAGCCTGCGGGCTCTCTGTGGGCACCCTGGGTGACAGGGCATGTGACTATGGAGGGCACACGTGTGAGTGTGTACTAGGCAGAGGCCCATGTCCCTCTGGAGCAGGGCAGGAGATGGGGGACCCTGGGGTCACAGGGCAGGCAAAGCACTCTGGCCCGGGCAAATTAGGCACCCGCCAAGGTCAGGATGATACGTGAGGGTCCTCAGGGCAATACTCTGGCCACCCCTGCATCTCCCGCCCCCTTCCCCACGCCAGCAGGGTTTCTGCCCGCAGTGCCAGCAGGGTTTCTGCCCGCACTGCCCGCAGAGGAATGTATTCCATTCCTCTGGACGAAGGAGTCAACACCAGCCTGCCTTATTCCCCCGCCACCTCCCATAATGCACAGGGGCCTCTGTGGCCATGACCTGACTATTTCAATGTAAAAGGAAGATGATCCCCCCATGAGAGCCCTAAGCCCAGGAGGCCCGAAACCCCTCCATCTCCTTCTCGCTGGTCTGCCACAAATCCGAGCCAACCAGGGAAGGAGGGAGGGAGGGAGGGAGGAAAACAGCATCTCCTCATGGCCTGTCTTCACTGCACTCCTGGGAGGCCCAGGTGCTGAGTGAGTTGACAAGGAATGGCGGAGCTGGGGTTAGATCTCAGGACCCCTAGGTCCCTGAGCCCAAGCCTGGTTCTCTGCCTGCCTCTCAGGAAGGGCCTGGTTACCAGATGGAATTCCCAGGAACCTGTATGAGGGCTGGGGGATCCAGGCCCCAGCAGTGCAAGAATGGGTCAGGAGGTAAGAATAAGGGGACCTCCCCACCTTTCCCGAGTGATTAGGGCGCAGAGGGGGCTGGATGGGGAGGAAATGTGGGGCTCACAGTGGGCCCACAGAGGAGCTGGGAGAGGCCGGAGTCACCCCTGCAGACCCGCTGGCCCGGGAGCTCAGGCTCCTCCCCCCAGCGTGGCCTGATTGGGCAGGCTCCGCGTCCCTCCCAGGGGCAGCGGCACAGGCCCAGCCTCCAGGACCCAGGGCATGAGCCAGGCTAAATAAGGGGGACTGCCCCTCACCCCAGCTCCTGAGCCCTGGGCGGGGCTTCAGGCCGGGCACTGGCTGGCCCCGCTAGAGCGACTTTTCTCAACAAACGTTTTTCCAGATGTGCCTGACTCCTGACGTGCCCCGCGAGTCCCAAATTCCAGCCAGAGCCGTTCCCAGGACAATCTGGGCTCTGTCCCCACCAGGACCTGGGGGAGAACCTCAGGCTTTGTCCAGAAGTGGGTGCCCAGAACCTCAGATGCTGGCTCAGGGCGTGGACCGTGGGCAGTGTGGGGAGAAGGCGCCCATGGACGTGGCCGTGGTGTGTCGCTCTCTTAGCCAGGAGTTCCTGTGGCTCCTCGCAGGGCAGAAGAAATGGACCCTCCCCTCAGGGCCAGGCAGGGCTTCTCACCCCCCACCCCCACCCGCAGGCTGGGCTGCGGGGGAAACGATGACGTCACTGCCTCCAAGAGGCCCACTGGGAAGATGGAGTCTGGGGCGGGAGGGGACTCGGGCAGCCGACTGGCCGTGACCTTGGCTCAACAGCAGCTCGGATGAGTTTTCCAGAGTCGCTCAGGCTCCCTGAAGCGAGGCAGAGAGCCCCAGTGGGGGTGGGGAGGCAGGGCAAAGCATCGGAGGGGCCCAGAGAGGCTGCGAGAACCAGAGAACGCCCCTCCCAGAGAAGCCAGCCGAGGCCTCCCAGCCCTGCCCCTCCCTGCACGGGAGGGCTCACTGCTGTCCTTCCCCAACCTTGATCTCAGACCCGCAGGCCCTCGCTCTTGGCCTCTCAGATGGGGCCTGTCTCCCTCCCTGGCCTACCGGAGGCCCAGGTCAAAGCGGGCATCTGACATGAGCGTGAAGACACGAGCGTGAAGCCAGCCTAACTGGGAAGCACAGCCGCCCCCTCCCAGGGGAGGGGTGGCAAGACCCAGGCCCAGAGCAAAGGGACCAGGGAGGATACAGGACGTCCCTCCAGACGCCTCAGCCCAGTCCCCAAGGCTGGCCACTCGCCACCACCCCTCTCCAACCCCAGACAAGGGCCTGGTTCCAGCGTCGCCAGGCTCCCTGTGCCTGGATGCTGGCGCGCACACTCCCCCTCCTCCTTCCCACCTGCACCGGCCTCCCCGGACCTCTTCCTCCACGGAGACACCCCCAGTTCTGGGCGTGAGACCAGGCTGCCTCCTCATGGCCTCATGGGGTGATGAGGCTGGGCCCCGTGGCAGAGCTGAGCACAGGGCTGGGCGTGGCGGGGGTGACCCAGGAGGCATCTGCTCTCTGAGGGCCGGACTCCCTGCAAGGACGTGGTGCCCACCTCTCCAAGCACGTGAGTCCCTCCCTGTGTGACAGATAACTCCTGGCCATTTAGGCGTCACACGATCCCCCT